CTGAGCCGTTGGATGATAACTGACCACATCTCGAGGCCTTGATATTTGAGGGTTTTCCAATCGTTTCTCATTCATTCGACTTCTTTGGTTTTCTCTCTCAAGTTCTAGAGGCTTCTGTGTGACCTCTCGTCCTTCATTCTTCTCTGTGTGAATCTGGTTTGAGGGATACGTTTCTTGAGTCTTTTCTTTGTGAAATTACAGTGTTTTGTAAGGCTTTCTTGTGTGGTTGGTCTGATTCCTTCTTTGGGGTCTCATTGAAGTAGCTTAGGGTTACTTGGTCGACTGTGGTTGGGTCTCTGGATAGATCTGGGTCTGACGGTGTAGAGGGGTTATTGGATTGATGTTCTGAGCCTTATCATCTGTGAAACTTTGATGCTTAGTGATTAATCTTCTGGTTTCGCATATAGAGAGTCTGAATGTAATAGGGTTTCTGAGTTCTTTTGTTAGATCTGTAAACTCTGTGTTTGAAGTTTTGTATAACAAAACGGTCATTTAAACTTTGAATTAAATCGTAATTTCTTACCCAGAATTCAGGTTGCAAAGAACCAGGGACATTCTCCTTCGAACCCTGCATTAAACATGCGAAGCATTATAGCCAACTCGTTTACAGTAACAATAATCTTCAGACCACAGCATTGTCAGAGACTCACCTTATTCGACACTTGCTTCTTAGGCTGAGATACTTCATTGGTTTCAATATCTGACCGCAGGGAAAGCTGAAAATTTGGGGAGAAAAGATATTGTTGAGTGATAATAAACACGAAAATAATGTTCACTTGCATAGAACTCCTAAATAAATGGATCAAGTAATTGTACTTGAACTTTTACCTTAGTGAACAACTCCATTGGTGGAATCTGTGAGAGACTGTTATCAGAATGAATCTTGAATTCCTGAAGAAAGTCAACACGAATCTTGATTTAAGATATAGAAGCAAAGAAACTCCATAATGAGATTCATTCTTCGATGAATAATTCAGAAACTTAAATATACTTTCGAATTAACTGTTAGGGTCCTCACTTCCTGTTTAACGTCTTGAATGAAAGCATCATCTGGCATACTTGGAAACACCTGGACAAACGATGTAGTTGTATAGTAAGTGCAAGAACAGAAACAGAAATAATATTATCCAAAATCAGCGACTACCCACCTTTTGAGATTTAGAATTAAGCGAAGTGCCACGTTTCTCAGGCTTCAAGGTATCCCTAGAGTTTGGTCGGAAAACAGTTAACCATATTGGAATACCTATATTAGTCCACTGGCTATAAAAACTAAGAAACCGTATAGTAAAAAATCGTAGTGTAGTGGAGACAACTCAAAATTAGCGAAGAAGCAAAATTCATGCACCTACATTCTTTCTTCATTAAAAAGGTTATTCTAAATGAACATTTGGAAAAATGCTAAAAGATGCTGGTTGGAATGCTTAACTGCATCTTGGAAGAGAGAGGCGGCTTAAGAGGAAGACTGTACGAGAATGTAATTTATAAGTACAGTCCCTTCAAATATAACTTAGAAATGTAAAGATGCTGACCTCTTTGAGTCTGATCCACCACTTCGTAAATGAGAAGCAGCTGTATGTGAACTTAGTACCTGCATATTTGGAGCTAGTTGACACTTATTTTGCCGAAAAAACCAACTGATCCAATCGGTAAGACACTCCAAAGATCCAATATAAAGCATCTATAAAGTTGGATGAACAACTTATTTTGTAAGAATAATAATATTATACAAAAGCAAGTTGTCAATAACTTACATTAGCAGATACATGTTGGGTTGCCTTCTCCGTGGTCTTCAAGTGAAACTCCTAATGAACGTTGATAAAAGGGACAATGAGATTTGGAATTATGAGAGGAGAATTTTTAGATTTAAAATTGAATATTCTATTCAGATCGTTAAAGGATAGTGGTAAACAAGCATTATTTACTTGAAACTCCGTCTTCTTTTTAGGTTGGTGTAAGTTTAACAAAGGAGCCTGTAGAATCTACAGAAAGCACGAAAAAAATCTTGTTAATCAAATGATCATCACAAGCTGTGTACCGCTAGGTCGCAATTTAGAAAAGCATATTCAATTACAGCAAATACCAACTTTTCTATTGGATTGGCGTGCTCTAAAGGCGGATGCTTTTGGTTTCTCGTGTTCACTGGACTCAGAACTATTTTTGGACCTGAAAATTAAGATCATACACTATATTCGTCTGTCATGTTTGGAATTTCTACCAGGATGAAAAAATATATAAATTTGTTTAAAAAAAATTGAATGTACCTCCGCTTTTGTGCTCGTAGCAATGTTTCCAGTTCTGGTTCTTTAGGAACGGTGACCTTTTATTCAGATTGAACACAATTAGTTTCATTAGCAGAGAAGACAAAACAGTTTTTTTTGTATCAAAAAGTAGGCAAAATTTTTATAGTAGTCTGCTTTCTACAGAAGGTATATAATTCTTATTCACCTCTACCTATAACACAGTTCGTACTGTAAAAAAATTGGTACCTTCTTTGTTAACTTGTGGAAGAGAAAACTTTGATGCTTCAAATGAGCAACCTGGTTGATTTAAAATCAAATTTTAGGACTTTGGTAAAGGTTGATGATTGACATTAACAATTGGGTAATATTTTTCCTCTTTTCAGCCAAGAATACATTTAAAAACTAAGCATTATAGCTAAGTATACCTAGCAACCTTCAATATAAACAATATACATGGTATCAAAGCGACGCAAAGACCTGAGTTCAAGTGTCGTTGCCACACATTTATTAAAATTATGCATTTGACAATCTTTGATGGGAAAATATATTCCCGCCTACATGTGAGGGGAGGGGGAGTGCTGAAAACTAGATTTAAATGATATGTATGTGCCATCTCTAACGGTTAAAGTGGTGATGAGTTTGTTTTACACAAGAATTTTGTACCATTGAAGTCTCATTTGCATGCTTAATATGTTGATTATAAAACGAATTTAATGTGTTTGCTAGTGTTTTGGTTGAAAGAATGATAAAAGATGAAAAATGAATGTTGAAGCAAGGAAAAAAAAGGAAAAAGGAGCAAAAAATCAGTGCTCAAACGCCCGGATATGGCACTCAAACACTGAACAAAAGAGGAAAATTTCAGCAGAGATGCAGCACCTAAGCGCTGTCCCGTCCCAGTAGCAGAAGAAATTCAGATCTAAGCGCAGGGTTTGCCTGAGGCCATCATCGCGGCGCGTAGTCGTTGCCTTCTAGCACCTAAGCGCTACGCCGTAAAAAAAAAACTAGTTTTGTTTTGTGGGCTACGAAAAGCCCATGAAGAGAACTCCAATTTGGCCAAGGATTTATGAGAAGTATAAAGGGACTTGAAGGGGCATGAAACGGGGGTTCCATAGATTGCAAGATTGAGAGAAAAACACGAGATTGAAGACAAATTCAAGCGAAGAATTACATTAAGGATTCAAAATTAAATCAAGGGGTTGAAAACGGAAGAAGATCTTGGTGTAAGAGCTAAATCTTTTCCAACTTTTGCATCATTTAAATCCGGCGACGTATTCGATTTTTGTTATTTATTTCATAGTTTTGATTATGAGTAGCTAATTTTCTTATTATGGCAACAATGTAGCTTATTGAAACCCTTAATTATTTAATTCAAGAATTTCTGAGTTTTATTCTTTTATGTGTTGATTTTATTATGATTGCAATGCTTTAGATTATATGGCCAATAATTTAATGATCTATTGAGTATCTTACGAATCGAGAGGTGAGTTCGAGACTTAGAAAGTGTAATAAAATTCGGTAACAAAGTATAGCGTATAGAGATACTTATACTAAGTACTGCGATCGTTATATGAATTCCTAGTGCCATAACTCGTTTAACTAAGGGTAATTCGCATAGAGATATGAAATTAAATTAGTTGAATAGGCTCAACGAGAACTCGAGAGGGGTAAGTTGAATACCGTAGGAGAATTCGACCGAACACTACATTATGCTAGAATCTTGATTCAGGAACTAAGGTGATCTATAAGTGAAATTGTTTTGCCCTAATACATTCCACATACATGAAACTTCAATCTATTGTGTTTGGCATTTATCACAATTCCCATTGTTTTTATTTCCATAGTCTTAGGTATTTAATTGATTTAGAAAAATCTATTCTCACAACACTCATTGTTTTTCTTATTTGCTATTCTTGTCAAGTAGTAGTAGAAAAAAATATATTAAGTACTAAAAGTTTAGTCTTCTTGGGAACGATATCCGAACTCAAAGGTCCACTTTACTACTTGTTACGATATTGTACACTTGCGATAGAAAAAATGCAACAAATGGTTAGTACTTCCTTTTCTAGGAGTGATCTAACGTCAGTATAAAATGCATGAGAAGTCAAGTTGGTCAAAACATTTGAATGTCTATGGCACAAAATATGAACCTTTGATCCAATGTACCTTTCGCAAATAACCAATCTCAAGTTTTTGTCTCTTGGTTGCAGGATTATTAAATCTGGGAGGACTCTGAGCGATTTTTTCCTCAACCTTGATGGTGTTTTTTTGGAACCTGAAAATCAAGGAAAAAGAAATGATAAATACGGAATAGAAGTTCTAAAAAGAGTGAAGAAAAACATTTACTGTATAGCTGCAAAATAAGGCCAGTCAAGCAATAGTTACCTTGTACAGACACAGCTCGAACGCGTATCTTCCAATTTATTTTGTTTTGCCAAATGACTAGCTGTAGGTCTCATTAGGGTTGAACTCCTTGATTGGCATAGTTTAGTAGCTGAATTGGTTTTCGTTTTTGCACTATTTTGAAGTATGTGACTACTTGCTCCTGCAGAGAATCAAATATTAGAAGTGTAGAAATCCCTGAACAGTCAAGAGTAATCTGTCTCGGCTTTCATAAGTTAATGAAGTCATTATGAAACAAAAAGTAAAATAAGATCGAAGTTGGAAAATGCATAGGTAAGAACTGCTTAATATGTCCTTAGAAGTGAAAGGCGTCCCACTGAAAAGTACCCCGTACCTTGAATCATGTAAAAGATGCACAATACTATCACTTGAAACAAAAGAATATAGACACGACAAGCCTTGTGAAAGGCTTAACAAAGGGGCCTTGATTGTTCTCAGCCGCTTTGACTTACCTTCCTTTGCGAGTATAGCTACTCAGTGCAACGAAATGTTTAAGATTTTGTCTCTTAATAAGGTTAAAGAGAACTAGCTTCTGGCACCTTCTTTATTGGTAAAGTTGTGGACTGGACTAGACACACAATTTTCTGAATGGCCCCATGTTACACTATTGACAAAACTGGAAAACTTTGAATGGCTAGAAGAATCCATGAAAAAGAGCAGCATGGCAATAGGAAATACATGGACTCACATCGTTATATTCACATATCAATTCACTAACCAATAAATCTATAACAAAATGAAAACTCTCAAAATAACATTTCATCAGGATGCATCAAGTTTTGCCTAGTGAGAGAGAAGTAGCATTGATCCTAGCGTACCTTTAGTGTTCTTTTTGGATGAAGAGGCAACATGTTGATTCTCAACATCTGAACTATTACTCATTGGATTCACCTTTTTGCTATCTTTTGAATTGGAAGAGTTGTGTACAACATCCACGGAAAACACCTTTCCCAAATTCAACTTCACGAAGAAAGCTAAATATTCAAAGGAAAACCAGACCAAAAATACAAAAAATTTAGCTCTGTTTGAGCCTCATTCTCTAAAAAGTAAAAACTCATTTACAACTACACATTCTCCCAATAAAATAATTTTACATGTAAATCCAAAAATTTTACCTACTTCTTAACAAAATATTCTCCAAAAAAACCAAAATTATATAATTTATTCTGGGTCAAACAGAGCCTCAGCAAAGAGAGAACACTACGAAGAAACAAATGTTAGTTTCAACCACTTACGATTTACCTTATGCCAAACCTGTCACCCTTCCCCTCCAAAATAAATAAATGAACGAGTACTATTGCCCTGATTGTGGTTAAACAAGAGAAGTATAGAAATTTCACACAAACTAGTTTATACATGAACTACTGACATGTTCAAGGAAAACACAATCTTTTTTTCTTAATCATGTTCAAATTACTATGTTCAGGATTTTCCATTTATAAACAAATAAAGTAACAATCCATATCAAATAGAAACAAAATAATTTTCCTTCCCTAAAAACAATAGAAACTAATTTTAGAAATCCCAAGAATGCCTAAGAATAACAATGCAATTCAAGCAAGAACATGCATTAAAAAATAAAAACGTCACGGCAATATTAAAAATGAATGAAATGCTTACGAGAGGGGGGATAATCTCCAGAAATTTCAAACCAGCGCTCGGCCACCTCAATCTCAGAATCAGATTCCGGCCTCGTAAAATCAAAAAAAGAAGACGCATCAAACTCGTACGTCTCATCAATTTCCAAAGGCTCTTCAAAACATTCTTCAATGAACTCCTTCATTACTTCGTCCATTTCTTTCGAGAAAATGGTTTTTTTACGGCACGAAAAATTCAGGGGAAATCATTGAAGTCTAAATGCATAGATACATATAAATTTGATCACCCGAGAGAGGGGTTTATTAAGATTTGGCGTCCATCTTAAAAGCTCGAACTTGAGTAGTTCAAAATCTTTATTAATTGATTTGTGTCAACATCTTTATTCGATGTGGGATTATATCCCTTAACACGTCCTCGCAAGATGGTGGCTCATTTGAGCAAACCAATTTTGAAATCCACGTGCTCACTTTTTGGTGTCTTATCGGGATCGAATCTCTCGTTGGAGTATAATGGACTCTGATACCATATTAAGATTTGGGGGTCCATCTTAAAAGGTCAACCTTATTAAGAGGAGTAGCCCAAAATTTTTAT